CATTGTTCCTTTATTTATTTTAATTAATTTTTTTTTAATTTTTCGAATTTTTCTTAAAAATAAAATTTATTTTAGTTTTTGCTCTTTTTACTTTTTAAACTAAAAAAAAAAAAAAAATTACCATTTTCTATAGCTTAAAAGTGGGCCGTAAGGTCAATTTATACTCGTCATCGTGCGCTAAATTTAATCTCAAAAAATGACATTTAGAAAATATTTACTGCTAAATTAAATAGGTTAAGTATTTTAATTATTTTTTCTGTTTATTCTTCTTTTAAATTATACAAACTTACCTTTACTTGGAAAAATAAGTGGCTGGAGGGCTCCTCTCTCTCTCTCTTGATTTTTTGGAACTTCTCTCACTCAGCGTGCTTCACAGACGTCGACAGTTGAACTTTGGTGCTTATTTTTTGGAATTTATTCCTCTTCCAAGCATAATTAGACCCTTTAGAATTGTTTAGAGGCTAGTCTTGTATCATCTTCGGCCATTTTTTCGGTGGTAAGTCGTGTTTTTTGATGAGATCCAATCGCCAAAACTTTACCAAGTTAAGCCGGATTTTACGCGGAAAAAACGTTGAATTAACCAAGAAAATAAAAAAAAAAAATGCAAAATTGTCCTACCTCTTGACAAGGTTACGGTTCAAATTTTGGGCATCGTGCATAACTACGTAATTTATCACGCAAACTACAGATAATTTTACTCGTTGTCGCTTGATTTATCATCTGGTGTGGGAAAGAGGGACATTAGTAGAGAGGCACGCAGCCCTTGACGATTTTCAGGGCCCTCTTGGACTAAAAAAAAAAAAAAAATGCTTTTTAGGAGGCTTTCACTCCCCCCTCTGTAAAAAGTACCGCTAGCTTTAAGGGTATTGCCTCAAGTTCTAAACATTCTTAGGACAGAATATTAAGGGTACCTCTAGGGTGTTTCCACTTGCGAATATGACACTAAAGCTTTTAGTTGATGCAGTCGGCTCAGTTTAAATGGTGGAGACACACGAACTCTTGGGGATTTTTCAGTAGAATTGGTATCGAAGAAGGTCACAGGATTGTTTTCTGGGGATTATTTTCGGTGGCTTACCTATAGGCCGCTCGACAGCTGTTTCTGTAATCGATAGACAGATAAAAAAAAAATAGCAGCTAACAATCATTCTTTGGCCAATTTCCTACAGCCACCCTGTCGTTGGCAAACAAATTTTATGCTCGAATGATTCTCTGTTGTATTCCTCCCTTTTGGTCCGACAAACAGCCGAATCGATCATGTTCTTTTCCCCATTTCTTGCAAAAGATATAGGCTAAACCTAGGCATGTCTATAGATCGATATTATTCACTCTTTAACTTATAAGATTACTATAATTATTCTTTTTTTTTTTCAGGCGAATAATCAAAGAAAATTCTTTATTTATAATTTCCCTACACGCTTCTCTGTAGGGAAATCTAAATATTAGGGTATTGTTTTTCTTTTTTTGTATGTTTAATTTCTAGAAAAAAGAGCTAGATTTTTCTGTTTTCTACGTTATTCTAGCGTGACTAATTGTGTTTATTTATAATTTATTTATGTTTTTTTTCATATGTAAATTGATTTTTCCATACCTTAAGGCCTGAAAATTTAAGAATAACATTAAAAATCAAAAGGCCTACAACAAGAAAATGACTTTTTTTTATTTTTAAACCTTTCAACAGCACTTATACCATACAGAAACGTGGTATTTCTCTAAGTAAATAAGTGTCAAAATGCTTGAATTTTCGAGAATTTTTTTTATGTTTTTATCTCTTTTAGTGTGCATAATTATGTTTTTCCCCCCCCTTCGTAACTTAAATATAGCCCTTGTAAGGGGGGGGGGTGATTTTTGTAACACGAAAACTTTCCTCCGCCTCCTTAAATGCTCTCGTAAATGTCGTTAAATGTGAATATATTTTTAAATATTTAAGCATTAAAATTCGATTTGGGGAGGGATATTCGTTTATGGCGTCCATATATTTTACTGGATGTCAATCAAATTTGGTCAAATGATATCAATTCTTTCTCTTGTTTTTGTTTTCCTCTCTTTCATTCTGTTGGACAGGTTAATAAATTTTCGAGTCGTAAATCCGAGGTTCGTGACTCGGATCCATCTGTTTAATCGGAGATTTACTAAAGTTCATGACTGAATAATTTTTCCCTGTGTCAATACCGATCACGTGACCGAGGCACATTGTCGATACCACAGACAATTACTCGCATGTAAGGCCTTTTGTTAGAGTGTTTTTCATCTTTTTTTTTTTTTTTTTTTTTTTTCTAAATTTCTGTATCACGAAAATTTTTCACATTTGTTCACTCCTCATCTTCTCTTCCCAATATTTTCCCTTCATGTCTTTGTCTTAATATACAGATATATGTAATGAATTTTGACTTTCTCTTCTTCAAGTATTACAAAAAACACAACAACACCCTAAAACAGTGAATAAACAATAAAATTTACTTCTACAAATGTTTTTATTTCTTTGCAATAAACAGGACATCTTAAAAACATTCAAACATAATCAAAATTCAAATTTTGAGGTGTGCAATCATGCAAAGTTACAATAAAATTAACTATAAAACACAGTTTAATTTTGTGGGGAGGTGCATAGATTTTAAGCCTGTTACAAAGAAACACTAATCACAGAATGGTCCTAGGTGAGCTATAGAACAAATAATTAAGGAAGGAAAAGCGATCACCTTTAATTAAAGAGAATGATTCACTACAATGGCATGACAGGCATACATTGATCTCGCCTAGGACTTTTCTGCAATTAGTGATTCTTTGTAGTGGACTTACAATGTATGCACCCTATAAAATTAAGAAATTTGTGTTTTATAGTTATTTTTATTCTAATCTTGCACAATTGCGCATGCCAGTATTTGTGTTTTTGATTATATTTGAACGTTATAAAGATGTTCTGTTCAGTTTTTGTTGTATGATGCCCGATAATTGTTATAAGTGAATGAAAATGTTGTTATAAGTAAATTTTACTGTTTATTTGCTGATTTCTTATATGTTGTGGTGTTCTTTAAGTTGAAATGTTTTGGTGTTTTGACCATTTAAGTCACAAGCACAGAATGAAAGAAAACTACCAGTTACTTTATTTCTCAGGCTGCTTGAGCTTATTTTTCATGTGTGATGTCATAAAGTGCTAGAATTGAAAACTTCAATTATTTATACTTCCTGTTAATGCGAATACTAATGATATTGACACAGTAAAAATAATTTTATGTAAATATATTTATTCAAGTAACATGTTAAATAAATTTACTGTTTTGTCATAATATAAATAATTTGTTTAATAAAACATTGTAAACAATGTGAGTAATGCATCATATTGAACAATATGACGCATTACTCATATTGTTCGACAGACATTAGCTGTTTGAGAATTTTTTGCAGTGTACTGTACTTACGTCAATGTTCAATTGTCAAGCTTTTGTAGTTTTAGATCATAATCTACCATACTTTAAATATGTATTAATTTTTCTGTTAATCCAAGCTTTTGATTTATTTTATTGTCTCAAATTGTGAAATTTAGTTATTTTGGAAATTATAGTGTTTCAGACATATTGGATGTTTGTTATGAATCAATAAAGTAACATTTCATAACACAAAAGACATTAATCCTATTGAAAATAAGGTTAAATTGTCAAAACTGTACATGCTTTTTACATCTTGAATTATCAATAAAATGCCACTGTTTAAAATTCAAAACTCAAAAATGATCTTATTTCTACTTAATATATAAAATAGAACTTTTGTGCGATCATTGTATTCATGCAAAGATTTACTTGAAATGTTTGAAAAACTGACCAAATTTCACAAGGGCTCTTTACAGTTTCTCAATGCGTGCACCTCGCATTGCATGGCACACATTCGACCGATACTCAAACTCTTCCTGTTGATTGATATGGCACGTCTGTTGTCACTCCTCCTGCGGCAGTCACAATTCTGTGGCTTCCGCAGGGTACTTACGTTGCATGATAACGAGTGATTCCAATGTGCAAACTGCAAATCATGCTCTCTATTGCAGATTTGCCGTTTCCATTTATTATTCTTCCTACTGGCAATAGATGAGACATTTGAACGCAGACGGGAGACAAAACTCAATGGTTACTCTATCAATTGATGTACTTGGCATAATTCTTGGATAATATTATAATTAATTTTGGAAGATACTGTATACAGTTCTTTGCAACAATGTTTAATTTAAATGCATACAAGTGTTTCATTTCTGTTCAAGCACTGATACATGAGATTCAGTATAATAATAATTGAATGTAAATATTGTCTTAAAGCTACCCAATGATCACAAACAGTATTTTGATATATCCAACACAATGTTTTTGATGCTGCCAATTCATATATCACATATACTTGATGACAGTTCATTATATTAATTTTAATATTTTCTTGCAATTAAGAAAATTCTGCAAAAATTATTTAAATTGCTTTATCATTTTAATGACTTTCTAATAATTTTTGTTTCTTTTAACAGTGTATAGAGCAAGTTTTCGTCAAACTTTTGCCGAAATGAAAGCTCCGACCGGTGAATGGAAAGTTATCGTGGGATGGACACTTTGCGGAATATCTCTAGCATTATGGATTTTTATGTTTATGCAAAAATTTGGTAATATTTTCTGTTTTACACTTAGTTATAAAACATTATTTCGTCATCTTTAATTATATATATAAACACTTATTTATTTCTATTGCATTTTGATATTGAATAAACAGAAATAATAGCAGCTTGCATTACATTTAATCACAATCTGGAGTGCGGTTAGGTGATAGCAACTAAGCAAGCAATCTAACAGTGCGATACCTTTTGTATGAAGCTTTCTTACTCGGCCACTTGTCTGGATACATCCCGGAAATCTGCAGTTAATTTTGGAGTAAATATTTTTGTATCTAATTTGTGTGGTTCGATTGGCTGTTTGCATAAACGTATTGAACATTCTTTACAAATTAATCAATCCTAAATTTTTCAATAAGTTTAATACACAAAATATTTTTCTTATTAAATTAGACTGATTAATAATCTGACATGCAATTAATTAAAATTTAATTTTTGCACACCATTCTATCGGTTTGCTTGCGCTGTATCATGCTAGTCAGTTGATGAAATGATATAATACGGCAGCAATCAGGCTAATATTCCATTTCACATTATATATTAATTATAAACACAGCATTTTATGTAAAATATTTATTATTATTTTTAAAAAAAATAATTAAATAGGTAAAAAAGTCTCTCTCTGGTTCTTTAATTCTGATTTGTCTTTGATAGCAACAATATTAATGCCTTAAACATTTTGTTAAGTTTTATTTTTTAATTATGATGACCGACTGACTTTTATGTTACTGAAGAATTACGCTTGTCTTTGTACTTTTTAGTTGATATATGGATGAAAGAGCATCTAAGCAATTTATGCAAGTCTTCTTTATAAACAACATTGATTAGATTTTTAATTATAATAATGGCCAAAATCTCATCGTATCCATACAAAAATACATTAATCATGCACCTTGAGAATACACGATTGGATGCAATTTTTGGCAGATTTATAATCGGAATTGGATTCAAATTGTCGTCTTTAGTAGACTGCCGATGGTATAATTACATTAAAGCCAAATCTGCAGTATCGAGCCTATCGTGTCTGACGTACCGTACATATTTATACCAGAGCATTACAAGTTGTGTAAATACATACATTGAATGCAATCGATAAATGTTTGATGGTTCCACGAGTGGCTCGGTAGTACGAATCGGGATTAAGACTCGAAGCCTTGGCCCGAGTCTTAGTCTGTGCTGCGAAGCCATTTATAAATAAAGATATCTTTCAACTTATTAATTACCAGTGCTAATGACCACCCTTGACGAACCTTTATGTCTGGTAACAAAAATGTTTAATAAATCGTCCAACGAATGTTTTCGACCTTACTCAGGGTAGGTTCGAAAACTCTAACTTCTAATGTTACTCAGATTAGAGTAAGAACACATTCTAAATTTGGAATTCGTTATTACTCTAACCTGAAGCAGACCTTGAGTAAGGTCGAAAATGTTTATTGGGGTCTCCATTAAACGTTTTTGTTACCGGACATAAAGGTTTCGTCCAACGAATGTTTTCGACCTTACTCAGGGTAGGTTCGAAAACTCTAACTTCTAATGTTACTCAGATTAGAGTAAGAACACATTCTAAATTTGTCAAGGGTGGTCATTTATAAATAATTTGTCTTATTGTTTTCCTGGTGTTTTGTTATAGGTAAGTATAGTAATCGTTTTGTTTTCATATTCAGAATATTCATTTTATCACGACAAAACATTTTCCAGCAAATATACTCAAATTTCGGTAATTCACAATAATATATCCAAAAACTAAGCGTGTTTGTATACTTTTGAAGGAAATTGTTTTGTATAATTGTATCCAAGTAACTTTTGAAGTTTCTACTGAAAAAAAAAAATCTATTTGCAGAAAATTTGAACTGTGAATTGTGGGGTTTAAACTTCCTCCAAGGAGATATTTTTCAGAAAGTGTTTTAGTACATCCAAAAATAAGCAAATTCAACAAGAGTTTACAATAAGTCTGTAACAATATGAAACCGATTTTGTTTGTTGTTAGAAATTTAACATGTTTATGGCATTAGTAGATAAATGTTTAGGCAGCTGCTGGGCGTTACGAGTCATCCGTGACTCATAGTCTATTTTAATACAGGGCGGCACGAGTCACCCGTGCATCGTACTATTAAATTAATATATTTTATTGCACCTAATAAAATAATATCGATATATAAAGTATGATGTTTGTAGAATTATGTTATCAAAATATATGCGCTGCCCCACGGAAAAACAAGCAATTTTGTCTGTAGCCCTAACTAGACATGTCCATATGAGGCACATGTGACTCGTAACGCAGTGAATGTGTTAAAACAGATAAGTTTACCTGTATTTTTGTGTGAAATTCTTTAGTACTTCCGGCCAGACTATAAAAGCAGGTTTTACAGTCTTGCATGAAGCACTTGACTCTAGAACGGTGAAATTATCTTTAAGGAGTATATTTGTAAATTGACATTGTGTTTGGGCGGAACTCTGTTTCAACTCTGCTTTCGCAACAAACTGTGGTGTTGTAACAAACAAGCTTCTAGGTATGTTACAAAATTCCACAGTACATAATTTGTTTACACTTTGTTATACCTGACACTCTTAATTCACACACACAAAGACAAAGTAAACCAATTACGACACTGCATTTTTGTGCTTAACACTGGAAAACTGTGGGAGGGAAGGAACAATGAAATTCACAAGCGGTGATTATTCAAAACAGAATAATTTTTTGGAAATTCTTGACATTTTATCAGACCTGTTTAATAATGTATTGTTAGATATCAAGTATCCAGTGTTTAGTCTGCAGTATACAATATTTCCTGTAATTAACTGCTCAAATAACTAAAATAACATGCACCGGTTGGCCTAAATATCCGGTATACTAGTGGTGTCCAACTAATATCAATAATTCCCCGATGTAACGTTACATAGGGGGATTAAAAGTAGCCCGGTTTATGGTCCACTTATTGTATAATTTCGTTTGGTCTGTTGTTTTTTACTGGATGACGTAGCATTTTTATAGAAATGGGGTCAAAGATCACCTTCTAGAGAAGTTTTCTTGATAATTCTATTCTGGAATTTGTATTTCTATAAAGATCTAGTTGATTTTTGTGTTGTGTTTCTGCAGGTACTTTGACATAAATACTTTTCGTGCACATAATACACAATGTAGAAGGGGTTTAAAGAATTGGGAGGGGTAAGATTTAAAAATTCGAAGTAGTCATTGAGCAATAATAAAGATGACTTAATCAGTTCTAGTTCTGGTATTTAGCTAAGTCACGCTGTTTCGAATTATTGAATAGTTTTCCTTAAGTGAAATGGACTTTACGAATACAATTAGCGGTGTAGTTACGTTAAACTTGATGCGAAATGACATTTGTTACGTTTACAATTAACGAAACAATGCGTTTGTAAATAAACAACAGTTACTATTGTTACGGGTCGCTCCGTAAAGCACGAAATATTTGTATCTGTTATGGTAGTTACGTCGAAGAGTAACATAAATCGGTTACGCGCCTTATACCGATAGAAGCCGTTGCGTAACTCCGTAACACTCGCCATTTTGATCGTATCGTTACACTAATTAAGCGTAACCGTTTGTATTTTCAGTGTATCCACCGTTACCCGAATCGTTCACTCCCGAGGGTAAGGCGAGAACATTGAAGAGGATGATCCAGTTGAGAGTCAACCCCATCGAAGGACTGGCGTCCAAATTCGATTACGAGAAGGGTCAATGGAAGTAAATTACAATAATTAAAAGAAAAAAAAATAGAACACATTCTTCTCTCACGCAGGCGGCCATTTTGATTTTTTTCGGAACAATAACAAATTAGTACTTACTTTCCTGATTTAGAGCGTAACGTATAAACTTGTGCGAGTTCAAAATTAATATATGACACCGATCAGAAATTTTTTTTTCTATAATATTCTAGAGACGAATTGTTTTGTTGTGATTAGCATTTTATGCAAAAAAAAAGAAAATGACGTAGATTGCGAATCTGCGTCACGTGTAACGCAGTTTTGAGCTGCCATTAAAGGTTGTTACTACATAATTTAAATGGTGGTTTGTCTGGTTTGTTTAAACAAAACGACACGCATTGAACACCAGGAATATATTTTTTATTAAGCGCTAACGTTATATGCGGGTTGCGAGAGAGAGAAAACGTTAGTTAAAATTCAAACGTAACAAGCGATCGTATACCAATTTTCAACATTCTTTGTCGTAACATCCATGCGAAAATCGACTCTAAACAGACTGGGAAAACGGCGCGCGTAACGTCACTTAACGCACGACTGCGTTGAAACACGTACAGAAACTTTTTTTTTTTTTGAAACGTTACCACCGTCGCGTCGCTAGCTCGTGACGCGACGCGAGAGCGGCAGGAGGAGGAAAAAAAAGAACAGGTAAGGGGTCATTGGACGTTCGAGACCTTTCTGGTGTCACGAAACAGGACGAGAAGAGTATTGCGCAGTGTCTTTTTTTTTCTTGGTAAGGGCAAACAACAACAACAACACAGGTAAGTCGACGTGGCTTCGATGGCGTAACCCATCCCCGATTTTTCTTTTAAAAAAAATGGCTTTCTCACCCCCCAGCTATGGACGACGGTCACTCGAGATGGACGAAAGTCACGTGGTCTGCGTTCTGGTTCCTTTCGATACTGTTCTGTACCGTCATGTCGTTCTTCTGCGCCTTCTGGTACATCGTCTTCCTACCGTTTACGGTGTGTTCCCAAAACGTCAAGGGTATCACAGAAATACTACTCATCGGTATACAACTGCCACAGCAGTGCAGCCAGAACATGATGGAGCACAAACCACTCAAGATGGCGCTGTCCGGTGACCACAGTTGATCGGAAATAAAACGCTAAGTTACATATTTAATGGTGCATTTGTTTGTCTGTCCGAACGTAAATAACTTAACGCGGATCTTTTGATATCGTACCTTTTTTTTTGACTAGTTTAACGAGCTTAACGCGAAGGCACCGTTACTGACCCCTCCACCTCCTGCACGCGGAGTCTTTCACCCACCAAGCTGCTATGTCGTCGTACACTTTGTAGGGGACCACGTCGCTCGTGTGAAGTTTTCGGCACAGTTCGCATATCAGGGGAAGGGACGGGGAGATGTGGAACCTGTCCTTCCATTTAAAGTACGACTTGTACAGGTTGTAGTCAGATGCCACGTTACGCAGGTGCTGAGCCAAGTGTTCGGCGTCTCTGTAACTCAGAGCGTCTATGTACGAGTCGGGAGGGGCCACTCGACTGTAGTTCGCGTCGCCGAACACTATGGGTATTATGTTGTACTTGAGTATCCTGAAGAACTTCTCTGTGACGTAATCCTTACACAGGGAGTTCTCCAGGGCCAGAAAGAACATGTAATTCCTGACGTAATCGTCGAGGCACTCGTCCAGTTTATCGTTGGGGCACCTGCCCTTTCCGCAACTCCCGTAAACGTCCACGTCGATGTAACTCTTCAGACGGTCGACGAACCCCTCCCTGTTTCCGGAAGTGGGGCAGTTGCTGACAAGCCACACCACGTGCTTCTTCTTACCCCTCCAAATGTCCAGGAGGCCGTCCGGGACGTCGGAACGGTTCCCGTTTACGGCGTAACTACCGTAGGACGTGACCACGTCCGAATCCAACCTGTAAGACATGGTCCAGTTAAACATGCGCCTCATGAACCTGAAGGCTGCAAAGTAGGAATGGGGTGGCGCTTCCAAGCAGTAGTAGATCCACTTCTGTTCCGGCTTCCGGTGCAGAGGAAGATCGACCACGCTGACGTCACGACAGTGAAAGACAATAGCCTCACTATGTAACAATCTCCTCCTGTCCGTGGTCACTTCGCAGCGTGATTCGGGGCACCCCGAATGCGACAGGGCGCCTTCACCCACGGGCATGTAGTCACGAATGCCGAAAAAAGGGGTCCACAGCAGGATCACCTTGTCGGAACGCAGGAGAACGGACGACTGAGCTACGTAGCGGTACACAACGGGGTTATACCTCAACAATAGGTACAACGCCAATACGGAGAGGACCATGGTAACAATTAAACACGTCCTACATGTCGACAGTCGCGTGATCATAGCTCAAACTCGATCTCGTGCATCTGCAAAGAGAACGGACACAATATAGAAACACCACCTCTTATCTACCGAACAATACGACGCCTCTCGCAACGGTGTGACGTATTTTAATCGGCTACTAAACGTGTGACGTTTCGTTACACACACCTGCCAGCCATATTTTATAAAATAAACAATAAATATTTAATCCTGCGGTGTTTTAAACAAACACAACGCTTCAAGAGAAAGAGAGCACGTGGTCTTTTAGAAATTTGGTAGGAAACGGCACGTGCTCGAGCTGTTCGGGAATTTAAATCGGAAACCACGTGATCCACGGCGTGGCTTACGTCAAGCCCCCTGCCCACGTGACCGCTGCCGATAACCCCGGCTCCTTCCCGAGCACGTGGGGGACTGGTGGGGTCACGTGTAGATGTTTTAAAGTAACTAGAGCGTGAAACGTGATCGAAGGACGAAGAAATAATCGAAAATCGTAATAAATTCGGGCGTGAACGCCCATCGTTTGCTAAGCCTCGCCGACTGAGCTGTTTAACCGAATTCGATGAGGTTTAAAGGCTTTTTATGTATTATTTCTCGAGACTTTAGCGTATCTCGTGTTTTAAAATCGATTAAAGTTGCGGATACTCACCTTACCCGGCCGTAATATTAATCCTTTCTCGTTTTGTGCACCCCTAGCGAGGTCCATCCATCTTTTCTCAACTGTCGTCACTACTGCCGTGCGCTGATTGGTCAAGAGAAGCGCTATCCCGTCGTGACGTCGATTAAACTCTTCTCGTCTGCTTTTTTTAAGAGGCGCCATCTTAAATTTTTTTTTATTTTAAAAATAATTAAATATTTATTTGTTAAAACGAGTTGACTTTATTTCTAATGTAGACTTTTTAAGAATTTTTTTAAATATATAAATTTATTATAATCTGTTTATCGTAATTATAATAATTTCGTTAAATAATTTGGCAAGCAATTAATGCTAATTGCTAGAGGCGCGGAAGATGCATCGATGGTTGCGTCACATCCGTCCGTACGATTCGTCAAAAATACAAATGACGTCATCGGTGTCTCCATTCTCATATTTGAATTCGTTCCGAATAAATTTTGCAAATTTTCTCGGAAATTTTTATTTAAATTTTAAAAATATTTCGAAAGACTTTAACATAAATTTGGAAAAACACAACGTGCCCGCCATTTAATAGAAGATGAAGTATAGTATATATGTAAACGTTAATCGACCAATAAAAATTAAGTTAAGAAAAATAAATCGGCAGGACGTCATTAAAAGAATACATTAATTATAAACGTTTATTTCTTAATTAAAATAAAAGTAAAAATAGATTTTTCTAACCAAAGTAATAAATAAATAATTCCTATTGAATATAATTAAGATTAAAAGTATTTTTTTTTATTAAGTAAGGCGTATAAATTATCGGATTCAGAATGGCTTACGTATTCATGACGTCACTCATGATCCTCTCAACTATTAGATAATATCATATAAATTTAAATTTTAAAAATTGTTCATCGGCGTCAATCTCTCCCGCCATCTAATGAGTATGACGAGAACTAAATTTATTAAATGATTAATTAAGCTAATTAATACGGCAATTTAATTAGGCATTTTACAATTTTCCTGTAGAATAATTATAATAGTTTCCATTTACGAATAAAAATAACAGAATTTTTTTTTTTTTTTNTTATTACATCGCTCATAATTCTTTAAATACTTATACGTTATAATGTATAATTAATAAAATACTTTGTTGTTTTTTTTTCTTAAATATCCATTTAAATTTGTATAATTTATCATTTTATCCAATTTCCTCAGCTCAGACAATGAAACAATATTTATGAACGATTTATGCTTATGTATTTTACCGTTTTAATTTGCTCGACTACAGAAAACGAAGTCGAGTTCACTCGAAGGCAGAAATCGAAAGACTTTTATTCTCTTGTGTATAATTATCCAAAATTTAAAATATCTCGAATACAATGGTTGGATTGTTGCCAGAAGTACTTAAAGTAATTACTGTTGTTTGGAGTGTATATAACACAAGGCCAACCAATCTACAGTCGATAAAGAATTGTCTCATTAGTTAATAAATGTTTATTTTAGTAACAGGAAAAATTTCGAGACCTTATTACAGTGTTTATACTTGTATCTACACGTGTATAAAATAATTAAATAAGGTTTGTAAAATCATCTAGAGAAATATATAGGAATCGAGTAAAGCTAAATTGTCATCTTTTCAGTTGGAGATTAGAAAGCATCAGAAAAATCAATAGTCTGCTACAGACGGAGAAACTGGAGATTATTTGATAGAAGTGATAAGTCTAACAAGAGATTAGTGCTTGGGAACTGAAAGAAATTGTGACTTTTTTTTTTTTCTTCTTCTTCTTCTTCTTCCTCCTCTCTTCTTCTTCTTCTGCTCTCCCTCCCTCCCTCTCCCACTCGCTCTCTTTCTCTAGAAAAATATAAACTTATAAACGTCTGATTTATTGGGTGTTATTGAAGCTGTATATCGTCTGTGATGTAACTTATCGTTTCAGTTTATTAAATACCTTTCGGCGTTCTGATTGAGTATGATGTGATTAATGGTGCTCCCCTTTCTGTTTGGAAGCTTGCACGGCTTTCCAGGGTGCCTTCGCGTGTTTCTAAGTACGTAGGCAGGAAGATTTTTGTAGCTGATACTT